AAAAAAAGAAAATCTATTCGAAATCCGAGAGAGGGTTTTCATAAAGGTCCCCTTGGCAAAGTTTTTCTTTCGTGGAATCATGCATGACACAAGAATTTCAAGTGTAAAGCCTCCTGAGACCCTTACCTCCTCTGGTCCGACTGATATTTTTGCTCATTTGGATGTGTATGATCGAAAGTCGGTGTGTATTTCAGCTCGTGGAAGTAGGAATTCAGAAATCCTTGATCACCACCGTCATAGGTAGGAAGATGAGGTGCTTTTTTGATCAGATCGTTATAAACCTAGAATCGTAAACTATAAGAAAAGACTGCAAAGAAAATATCTGGTGGAAAACATACTCCTGTTGTGAAGAAAAAGATTGATCGTTATTTCGCTTATGGCAGACTGTGCCCACATTACCTTTGCTTGCCTAACTGGTATAAGAGTTGCATGGGTGGATAAAATATGAACCCAAATGTCACCTCATGGAAATAGTCAAATCAGATACGTATCTGTGACCTTACCCCTTCCCCTGGGCCCTCATATCAGTAGTTCTACAATTAAAATAGTGGTCAACAGAGTGCTCATCTCATTTCCCTTTTCATACATGTACATCTTAAAATAATTTATAAAATGACGCAAGCAGGAGAATTCTTCTAAACCAGTGCTACTCCTGAATGCCCTATCTAGTTCTAATCAAATAAATATAAATCTATCGTAATGTAATAATCAAAACGACTGAATATGAACGAGGAGAGGTGTGATTTACTTACCGTAAGATTTGGTTTCAACACTAGAGCACCAGCATTAAATTTGTCTGAATGACGGAATGTTGCACAAAAAGATCCGCATGAAAAAAATGGTGTCAAATCCCTTAGAGGCAGTACATCGAGATCCAGATACATGATCACATCGTACTCGGTCATCGACCAGAGCCTTAGTTTCGTGTACTGCAATGAAAACTATTTAGTGAATTGCAGTGTATTAGAGTTATGCAGTAAGTGACCGTAGAAAGGAAAAAAATGGAAAGATTAAGAAAAAGGGGAATGAAAGCAAGTGGAAAGGAAAAAACTAAACAAATATTCGAAAAAGTTATGAGAACTTACGTGATACTTGGCCGCTTTTTTAGCTTGAGGTACCGTAAGTAACGTAGTGTGACGGACTTCAATGTCTTGAGACCTCAGTTCGTTTATACTCGCATTACTGACGTTCTCGGTTACCAGTAGCACGTAGGGAACCGTCATATTCAAGGTTTTGATGTGAAATGCTAAAATAGCAGTATTTCAAGGTTCTCCAAGTAAAATAATGAATTATAATTTAGAAACCATTCACTTGTGACCACTGCCCAGATAGTGAGCATAAAGAGTGCCTATTAAACTAGGAGTAATGGAAAGTTTGGTAAGTTCGGGCCCAAAGGCTCGTAATGACTATTGACTATTAACTTCTTTTGGATGGATTAGTATTCCTAAACCCTTTACAGTTTCACCTTTGTAAAAGATAGGTCCTGCCACGAAAAGTCGAAGTAATTACTCACTGGGTGGCGAAGTAGCAATGGCGCTTCTTACCCGCACGTGTGAATCTTCAGCTTTCACCATTGACGTCAAGCGCCATTGACACCCCTTTCATAGTAAGGCGTCAATGGCGCTTGACGCTGCACTCTAAAAAGCCCGTCCGCTACATAGAAGAGCGTTCGGCGAGTCGCCAGAATGTTCTCCTATTGACTATTTTTTCTGACAAACTTCTAGGCCGTATGGGTGTATTGGACCATGCAAAGGTGGCGAGCGTGAGCAAAACGACAGCGTTGGACGGGGTTCGAACCCACACTTGTGCTTTCTATGCATCGAGTTCTTTATCCCCTGCACTACCAAGACCTGGCTGTCCTCCTTCTCTATGGTTGTGTATGTGAGCACTATTTTAAAAACAGCTCACCACGTATGTGAAGGTTAATTTTAGGAAGAGGCGGGAAGGGAGCAAGGGAGAGAAGGAGGCCCTATTCTTTGAGCTACCTTAGCATTACTTTTTTGCCTTCACATCCGCTGTGCAATAGATGAATAAATAAACAAATATTCAACGTTTTGCTTGACACGCCCATTTCCGCAAAGACGCCCACCGATGGACGTGTCAGACGGGTTCCGGCGATGACGCCGCGGGGTGAACCGGCGCGGGGGCAAAAGAAGATAATGAACACTCGCTCCGCGCATCCGTCGCCACGATAAAAATGAAGAATTTTAGGCAGTTTGCTGGGTTTCCCGCATTCCGGTAAGCCCCTTCGGGAGACAGTTTGTAGAAGTTTGGTTTGTTGAAAGGAAAATTTGATCCAAAAATAAGTAGCTCACAATTGTCACACGGTTTTTTCCTGAGCGTGATAACACCCATACTACTTACTTGGCCAGATAAGACACTTTTTACAATGGATTCAAATATCAAGACTGACAAACGCCGCTCCGATGCTATGAAAGAAGCGATAGATGATATCTGCTTTAGCAATAAAATGAGCAATAGCAGGTAAAAAAGAGCCCTAGGTCGTAGTGTGGCAAAACAAACCACTAGTAAGAACAACAATACAATTATAATTACTTGATAAACTTCAGCGGGCCAAATAAGAACTGATGTGATTGAGCCGTTTTAAATTCGCTTCACAAAAATTTTGATAATCCCTACAGACAAGAAAAAGGAAGGGGAGGGGTATCGAGAGCTACTGGACTGGGGGACAAAGGTTTATTAGAAGGACCAGCTATCTTCCGATGTAACCCTCCGCTATTGTCCTTTTTCTTTACCCTCGAATGACTGGCTATGTACCCCCCCCCCCCCCCCCCCCTCCATTTCCTCGCATATTCCTCCGGTCGAGAACGTGGAAACCTCTATCATCAGAAGCAATTAATTTCTTTGGACAGCAACGAGTACTGTCCGTACTATCGTAAATGTCTCAAGATAGGCAACTGCAAACCCTTCGATGCTTCCCTAAGTAAGATAAGATAGAATTGAAAAAAATAGAAAAAAATTTAGACGGACCGAACCCCCCTAGATTGGGGTCTCCGTGAATTCTTGGACACAGACATACAACCAGATCTAGCTCTGGAGCTATGGCTTTATCCATTTGAGAACAAAGAAAAAAGCTGAGATTGAGTAGTTTTATCTCATTTTTTGTATTTCAAAATTGCTCCATAAATAGCCTACCTATTCATATTAAATTGTTAGGGCAAGATGTAGAGATAAGTGAATAATACAACTGAAAACTTGTGAAAGAAAGTTCAAGTAGAACTCACCGAGTACCTTTGCAGGCAGTAGAAATCCGTCGTTAGTCAAAATCGAAATCATCACACGTTTTTCAGTGAGTACGGTAGGAATAAGAAACAAAACAGAGAATATTGTGAGGAAGAAAGCTGTCATCGTGCTTGAATGATTAACAGACACTCCCATTGTGATTTGTGGGCGCTAGCTGCTAGACAACGTCCATGCCATAGCGACCGACACCTTCCTGAAAACTTTATAGACTACGTGCTATCCATATTTGAAAATATTTATTGATCTATTAATTTTTATAAATGCTTAATACACTCATAACGAAACCTCGTGTGCTCGGAGCTAACGAGGAGCATAGTTTTCAGAGAAGCACTTTGATTAAAGACAGCCTAAATATATTTCGTTTGTAGCTACTCTGTTGTCTCTGCTATTTGTTTATTTACTCAATTATTTATTTGAAGAAGTATCTATTTGCTCGAATTCACAATAAGGTGCGTCAAACAATACAGAATAGCCTATGAGCACCACGATCTGAAGTCTGTAGGTGTTTTATTTACTTATTTGTTTCTTATTTATCATAAGACAGAATATTATTGTGAGAAATAACTAATTGTTAAACGAATTGCGATAATGGATCACCCTCATAAGGACCTATTTAGGGCACATGGCCCCTCGATTGAAGGAAAAAGAAACACCGTCTGAGTCACCATCAAGCTAGAAGGGAAAGTCATGTTAACAAGCGTCTGACTGGTCTTCGACTGGTCTTGAGACGGAGGTCGACCACCTACTCCCTTGAACACCTCAATGATCACTGTGCACACTTACTCTATCTACCTCATTGAGTCTACCACACGTCATACGGCCCAAGAACTTACAACAAGGGAAAGATTAACTTTAAGTGTAGGTAAGAGGACAAGGTGTGAATCTTGATTTTCAAAATCTATGGGGGAGGGAAGAAGGCTCTATTGCGTTCAGTTCAACACAATTGTTCGTAGTACAACTTGTGGTAAACCTCTCATTCATTCCTCTTTCAATGACGACAGACTTATTTGCTCGCCTTTCGCGAGCTTAGCAAAACTTTGACAGTCCGATCGGCCCGCTCAAAGGACAAATTCTGCGCTGAAGGGGTCAGGCCAGAGTTCATAGTCCGGGGAACGTACAAAAACAACTGGGTATACATCTAAAAATGTGCCGTGACAGTGACTCGAATACCAGATTAAAGGTATTTACAGATCTCTACTATATTAATCCTAGGTAGAATTGTTCCTTTAAATAAAGAGCCGTTCTTTTACAACATACATGTGAAAGTATGAGGTATAAATGAAAATTGCCACTGTGACAGCTAAACGATAAGAAGAGCATAACGTCGTTGGGGAGAAAGGGTATTCGGAATGAGCCATGCACCCGCATTGTTGGATTTTCAGATCAAAGTAGCATGCCAATGTATATAAGGCCTACACAATGACATTTTAAAAAGATCGAGTTATAGGATCGTACTGTCGATCTATATAGGACAAAGTTGACACTAATTAATGAACTACAAGGGAATGTCGATTTTATGTTTTGCCCGGAATTCGTCCCGGAAACTGAATCAAGGAGGGGTCAGGTTTCCAACTGTCTCACAAATGTTTAACCACGATCACGTTGGAGATATATGGATCAACCTGGCAATTCACTCTGAATTCAGTTCATGCTGAGCAAAAGAAGCCCCAAAGGAAACCTATGAAGAAGCTAGAAGGGTAGCACGGATAAGGGCAAGAGTATTGAGCTTCGAAACGAATTGTTACAATAGTACTTAAAGAGGTGTAAAGGATACGGAATGTATAGGCATATTCTGAAGCAGGCGCTCCTTTCCCTCATTGCAAAAAGTGGCAGGGAGTAATTAAGTGTGTTAATTCAAAACCTCATAGGCATTCAATTTTCAATAAATCATTAAATATTTTAAGTAGTTATAAAATTATGTCGCCCTCAAATTCTGCATGAAGTTATACTGAAAAGCAGAATAATAAGTTTACAGAATAGAGCATCAATCCAGTGATATGTAGCCAGAGGTGGTGCAGTAGCGAAAGGTGCACTAACACACAAGCATGTCCGGAAATCGAATCATGGACCGATATCCGCCCACGACAACCAAGCGTTCTATGCCTCCAGAACTGGATGATTGGTAATAACTCGTCTGGGAGGATATAGGCACTAACTTTAACCTCGAGTGGCCAGTCCAAGTCATTGGATAGGGCATATACGTATTTGAAACTTCTCTACGAATGTGAAAAAAGTCAAACAATAACGCTGTTCGGAAACGTGATTGACTAGTGCCTCAAATTTTTACCCTCACCTTTATACAACCCTAGGTATTACTGTTCAAATCTGAACTCGCCATTAGAAATGAAAAATATAGGTAGGATCGAATAAAGGACGACAAAAGGGTTGTTGAAATGAAGGGTATCAAGCATCAACTGGATATGAAGTAGATGGAAACTATCAAACTATCAAAACTAGTCATATGGAAATGAGATTGGAGTGATACCAATGGTTCATAAAGAAGTATAACATCCTATGAAGAAATATTCCGGTAATATACTCTTCGGGATCTACCCATATTTCAGTATTATGGAGTATCCGAGTAAGAAAGGACAAGTTGAGGATTCCATCGAAGATAGCCTTCAGGAAAGATGATTAAAAATGTATGTGATTTTGCTCCCTGCAGCTAAAAATACCGAAAATTATCATAAACTGCTTTGATGAAATTAGTATGGGAAAGTTTTCGAATACCCTTAAAAACGATATAATACTCTTTATATGTATATGCTCCATAGCACTTATGTAATGACCCTGACGTAGTCACTCTCCGGACTAGAACGAGTAATGAGAACAAGCGCAAGGATTTTATCCATGCATGAAATAAAAAGGTTACAAGGTATTCTGTGGAGAATAGCCAGCCGTCGATATTTCAAAATTTTGTTTGAAATTTTACTTGAACTTTGAACTGTGGTGAGAAAACAGCACTGAAGGCTGCACTTGAATACCAAAGTAAGCATGAAAGGCTTTAATACAATCATTATGTGGAAAGAATCAATTATCATAAAAGGCTGTGATATACTTTTCAGAGATATATCCCATAATACATAACTACCCACATAAATTGCTTATTGGACTAGAAAGAGTAATGAAAAAAGTTTTCAGAATGCACTTTCATACAAGATGAAAGAGGGTAAAAAGGCATTTTATAAGAAACAGTTAATCGCAGAAAATTTGATCTTTTATAGAAAATTTTAGTTAACTGAGTTGAGCTGTAAGTGGGAACGTAGCACGTAGCGCTAGAGATAGACGTTTGAAGAGGTGACGCATATTCTGGACAATGTAAACACCCGACCCGACCAACCTGGCTATCAGCAAAGCAGAACTTGCCTGAAAGGGTTATATGGTGATAGCAGGCGGTATGATAACAGCCACGCAATAGCTCGTTATCATGAAATGACTCAGAAAAACTACTCATCACTATTGATGAAGCGCTACCTTTTACTAGACAAACGGCCTAATAAGGTGGCTACAAATAATAGAAGCTAATTGCAGGCTCTACTGAAGATTTCCTCGCGTGGAAGAACTCCTCATTCAATTTTCTCTAGATTATAGACTATATGAAACAGATTGAAGGACAGGCTGTACAAAATGGATCGCTCTGTAAAGATAAGGATCAATTTCGAAAAGAGAAATGGTTGCTTTGGTAAGATACTTCTGCCGTTCGAGATTTTCAGGTAAAGCTGCTTATAAAGATTCGCCACAGTCGCGTCTCGTGGCAGCGTAATCTATCCGCTTCAACGTGAAGCCCTGGCCTCAGAAGACGACGATTACATCGAAAACTTAGACCGGTTGGTTCAAAAATTAATTCCACCTAAATACAATGAAGGAAAAAAATTCTAACATTGCCGAGGTAGAAACGAAAGGGAGAGAAGTCGGAAATAGACAAGGTGACTGCTAGAAAACGCTTTTAGTTGGCTGGAGAACCATTTCTATCGAGATACATGATTTATTGACTTTTTTGTAGGGACCGAAAAATGGCGTTCTGAAAAATCAGTAAAATATAAAAGGATAAATTCTTCGACGCGAAACAATCAGATTTAAAAATGCACCCCGCACTCGACTTCATGATTTATATGGGGTGCCTTTTTGAATTCGTTGGCCTATACAATGACTTGCAGTTAACAGGGTCGATGCTTTTATCCTCCCGAACGAGTCTGGTGCCAATTACCCCGGAAAGATGTAATGCCTGTTTGGCTTCGTCGAATATCGAACCAAGATTCGATCCCCGGACCATGCGTATGATAGTGCGCCATCCGCTACTACACCACCATCCGCATGAAAAACAGCCCAAAGACATAGTTTCCTAAACAATTGCTACGAGTGCATTTGGCGGAAAAAAATTGAAAAAGTTCACCGATGAGTTTCAGAATGAAGGTTTCTCTTTTATACCAAGATTAGGTTCGACCTCAAAATATATGTTTTCCACTGCCTGGCTTCTATTTGTCAAGTAACACCTTCGAGTTCCACTAGACAAAACACGAGGCCGGAATCCGATAAAGGATTAATTGCAGGGTATAGGATCATCGGCCCACGGCCATCAGCTCAATACAACAAATTGATCAGAAGCCAAGTAAACTTATCGAAACTTTATTTGAAATTGATCATAATGGAGTAACGTTTGATGAAGGAACTCTCTATCACAACCAAATGAGAACGACGTGATATGCCCATCGTTGACTCATTCCCAAGAATCTGTGAAAGACTCCTTTCATTTCAAAGACAACTGAAAATCAAACCTCTGAGATATCCACGAACCATTTGAATCATCCCCATCAGACAGCCAGCCAATACGACGGCCGTGATGCTTATGCCCATGGGGACCACGCTCTGGTTTGTACTGCCCGAACGCGAATTTCAGTGTATTAAATGCCTATAGAGAAAAAAAAATCGACACAATCAGGACCGAAGGGGGAAAAAACGAAACTTACTTCAGGGAACGTAGCTACCAATTGCTTCATTTTCTCCTTCATTTGTGGACGAGTCTGATTTTCGTCGTCCAAAATTTTGGAAGATTGCTCGAGAGCTTTTGATAGGAAGTTTATCAAGCTGGTAACATTCTTTCTCACTTCATCCCTATGTTTGGTCATATTTGCATCGAATTCTTTGACTTGTTCCTGAAGAGAACCAGGCTTCAGGTTTCTTAATCCGACACGATAATTGCTTTGGTTTGCTGCTCATTGGAAGCTTCACCCACCTCAATTTTGTTCTTCTTTGCCCAGTCCTCGATTTCCTTCTTCTGTTGAGCAATTGTTAACGTGTCGTTGGACATGATTTTTCGGTACTCCCTTCGTGCTTCTTCGCTAGCGTTTCTCAGATATGGCGGCATAGGAGGACCGTGGTGGTGGTGGTGGTGATGATGATGATGGTGATGATCCCGATGACCCCCATGTCCCCACATTCTTCCGTATCCATTAGTCATCACAGCAGTAAGGATGAATACAATGAAGGCTGTCTTCATTCTGAAACTCTAAAATTCAGTTTTTCTGTAATGAAGAACAGGAGAAATCGGTAGAAGAGCATTGATAGAGGGAAAAAAGAGCTCAAGATCATTCCAGCGGAGCTACCAAAGAATGACTGCTGTATTCCCCCGTGACAGCCACCCCATCTCATGTATGTATATCCTTTTCCTTAAATTTTTCGCACTGGCACAAACTAATATGAATTTTCATGGGAGAAGAGAGGCTGAATTCGAACACAGCTTAGTAAGCTGTCAACTAGAGCTTACACAGATTTGTAAGAATAAGGTCCATTCACACCATTGCTCTCGGTAATTGGTACTTGTGATACATGTGGGCACCCACGAATTGCTTGCCAGGCTCTGACGTGGGAAGCTTGGTATACCCCGGTAGCCTGCCAGGTAATTCCAGCGTAGACAAGGTCTTTCTTCTGACCCACCCGCGCTTCGGAGAAAGTACCGGTGATTCTTGGTCCGCGGATGAACGGAACGGTATCTCACCCAAATCTTCCAATGCCGCTCTCGAACTCGAAGGCGTGGGAGCGAAGGGTGACGGTAACAATTACATGACCTCCGCTTCGTCTATATCTAACAGGGAGAACGAATGGTGGGCCGAGCTCGACAGCACTTTTGGGAAGATCAGCCTGCGATCGAATTCGACGAAGAAGATGTTCATGAGCAGCGCACTAGTTCCTGATTTCCCTTCATCCCTCAACTGCATGATATAGCCAGTTCTGAGCCTCGCCAACGAGCCAAGATAACGGACGCTGTTGCTTACGCCAAGGAATCCAAAATCAGGTAGACCGGACACTTCATGCAACTTTGTAATGACCGTTGTAGCAAGCAGTTAGCGGCTGGATCCCTTGGGACGTCAAATGAGCGCCAAGAAGACCACCACAACGATAGTCGGACTTATTCACGAGAGCTCCAAACAAAAGGAATGGCAAGCCTTATGCCCTTCGAACGAGGAGGGTCTATTAAACTATAATGGCTCGTGACAGGGACGAATGGAGACGTTGCTGGTGTACGTTTGAGCAATTCGAATGAATAACAGGACGACAGGTGAATAGATGTGATGACAGTGAAGCTGTCAATGACTGCTGGACTACCTCAGTGGCATTCACCTTGCTTTATATACACTTATTGGTGTGAAGAGAAAAAAGATGACGCTCCCCTTTGATGCAGATCTTTTGTATTAGAACGGACCAGTATGGACCAACACAAGCTGCACAAACATTGAAACTTCCATGCCTATTTTCATACCAATTTGGAAATCAACCATAGCCATTACTGTAGGGGAAGGAAGAGACGAGAGCCTCTTTTCGCGCTACCAACTCTTGCCATGGAGGCTTCAAGAATGAACGACAGCAAACGAGCGGAAATGATAATGTAGCAATCACGATAAAGGTTTATATAAAGTCTGAAGGGATGGATAAGCATTTCATTTGCATCGATCGCTCATCTAGAAGAAGGCAATCTTGCAGTACTCTATATCCACAACCAGATTCAGTAAGTGATTCAAGTATAACCCAGGTACGCTGCTACGTGCTGCCGCTCTTGTACAACACCACGAGAGACCAGTGGAAACTATGAAGATGTAGAAACAGAAACGCTGAATTGAAATTTGATGAAAAAAGGAAAATTCAAGTCCCGAGTGCCTGTTTGTGACAAAACTCAGCCCTGCCCAAAGTATTTGCAATGCTCGTATTCGTGAAAAGATCGGCATGGGTGTTAGAAAGGGATTTATGTCGTAGAATGAAATAAGTTTCTCATGGATTTGTTGCATTTGATTTCATAACAAGTTCACTTGGGAAATAACGTCCTGAGATTTCGTTCCCAGACCAACTGAACCTTAGATGCCCTTCTGAGGCCGATTTCATCCCTGCAAAACAGTGAAGTACTGAAGTATTCGTTACCTGCCAACCTCTCCCCTNATGTTCATGAGCAGCGCACTAGTTCCTGATTTCCCTTCTACCCTCAACTGCATGATACAGCCTGGAGTTCTGAGCCTCGCCAATGAGCCAAGATAACGGACGCTGTTGCTTACGCCAAGGAA